TTTTTCAAGGTAACAAATAATGAGTCTGCAAAGTCTCAGGGCTTGGAACCAGCCCAGGGTTTTCATCGGTGGACTTGCTAGACTTTTTTTTAGCAGGAGAGGGAAGCAGCAGTGCTGGCCATCCCTGCTCCACTTGAGCTTGCTAGTTGTGCAACAGTGTTCCCAAGGAGGAAAGGGAAAAAGTAAAAAAAACCCCAAAAAACAACCCCCCAAAACTCTCATCTTGTTGTTGGGCAGAGTCGGGTAGCTGCCGAGAGGAGAGCAGTTGGAAGATGCTTAACTTTTGCAAGAGGGGAGGGCAGGGTGGTGGATTGAACTTTGGCATGTAGTTGATAAGTTTTTCCTCTGGCTCTCTCTCGCCCTCCTCTCCTCTTCTTTTTTTTCTTCTTTTTTTAACCTCTTAGTTCCATTATCTTTCTTGAGTGCTCTGCCCTGCATCCTTGGGTTATAAAAGAGGAGGAGAGCATTTCTCCTTGCTCAGCACATTTGTCCTCCCCTGCTCCTTACTGGTTAGAAGATAGGACGCAAGCTCAGATCCGGATGAGCAGTTCACATTCCATTACGAAATTCAACACGGCTTCAGAGCCAGCAGCAGCCTTAGCAGCAGCACCAGAGCTTGCTCACATACATACTCCACAGCTATGCGCTTCCCTTTCTCTTGTGGGGAGAAGGAGAATATTCCCTCTGTCCCCCAAAAAAGGTACAAGACAAGCTTGGTTTTTGGCGGGGAGGTTCTTAGCCCTGTGTATTTATTCTTCCTGCTGGTAAGATAGTTTAGGTTGGATTTGAATCATTCAGGAATATGGATGGAAAAAGGTTTTTGCTTCTGGGGTGGGTGATAACGGAAAGGAGCCAAGAGATGCTTTCGCCCTGCAAAAGAAGTCTCTTGAAGTGATTTCTGGAAATAACACCTGATTTAGATCTTTTACCATTGTTTTGTGTGTTTTTTTAGATAAGATCAAGGCAGGGTTATATATTTCTGTTATTACACTAGTCAAGTGTCTAGTTTAATGTGATATAGAGAATAATCTTAACTCTTAAGGGTTCCCCCCCATCCTTACAATTCAAACTCCAGATTCAATTAGTCTTTTTTTTTTAATGAGAAAATTGCTTTTTAACAACTTTAGCAGAAGTTGTCACAGATGCAGTTTACCCAGCCATCTCTGAAGTTTATGATTAAAACCTATCAGAAGGTTGAAATTCTTTGTTAAGACCAACTGTTTTGAAGCACACAAAGTTAGATACCACAGTTCCCCTTTTCCATGCGTTTTTGTGTGTGTGCAAGGGGGATGCAGCCAGTGACTCATGGTCAGGCCAGCCATGTTTGTTTTAGGTTCTAATTTTCCCTTTGAAGACTTAGTGGTATATTCTTCTCTTGGTGTGTCTGCATAATGCCTATTAGCATTAACTGGAGTTACGTACATCCAGGGGAGAATAGAGCCTTTTGTGAGTTAGCAACCCAGAAGCAGCATGAGCCCATCATCCAATCAATCAGGATAACACTCCTTTTTCAATATTCACGGGTGGACACACCTAACATTCTTCCTACAATGCAGATAGTCTGACTTTTTTTTTTTTTTACTTCATGCTGAGTATGCATTCATATTTAGGACTTGGCTGGTATCTTGTAGTTTAAAGAAAATTGATATATAGGTGAAGTTTTGTAAACCCCCCCTTAAAATTAATTTGCATTGGAATCATTAGACTATTCTGATCTCACCTGTTTATCAATTGATAATGCAGGTTATTTTTAACCATTTTCAGTACCCTTTAATTACTAGTCGCCCCACGCTTCTTTTTTTTCCGTAGACTTTTTTTTATTCTTGCAAAATGTGCCTCTTGTGGTTTTGGTATTAAAGCGGATTGTAACACATGCAGATTCTAAAACCTGCCCTCTCCAGCCAAGTTATCTCTTTCTCCAAGGGTATGAAGTTTCATTTGTTAGCAGATTTTAGTGTAGTTGAGTGTCTCAGTCTGACTCAGATGGTACAGGTGGTACATCCATTCTTAACTGTTTACATCATTCAGTGACCTTTTGATCATATGTTCTTTATTTTGGAAGTGAGGGTCAGTCTCTGGAGTTTCAGAATTGGGAAAGGTGAACGTTTGCATTGGGTGTTGATTGTCCCTTGCAGTGAAATCCTTTTAATATCTTCTGGCAAACGGAACATGCACACTTTCCACAGTGCTTTTGGTTTTACCTTAAGGATTTCATCACTTCTTTGGGTTAATAGCATAGAGTGTTCACAACTGCACCCTTTTTCAGGTGGTTCAAGCTTCCTCTTAAATAGAAACAAAGCTTGGTCTGTCTTCGGTTGAAAGTCTTCTGAAATAATAACTGATCTTGTACTTGCATTATATAGATTCAAATATATAGACAAATCCCTTTGGTTATATTCATTATCCCTTGTAAAAGTAGGTGGTGCTTAGAAGGTCATAGGATAAGTGTTGCTAAGCAGCTAAACAGAAGGATGCTAAAATTAACCCAAGTGTATTTGTAAAGGATTCACTTTTTAAAGTTTTAGATACTTTTAAAAAATTTACTTAGTCACTATTTTTAGGTGTAAAAATAATATATTTTAGAGAAAATGTTTAGGTACATGAGTAAAATTACTCACCTTAGTAACCCATTGGGTCTTCAGAGACATCTCCTTTGTAGGAGTTAATTTACTCACGTGCCTAAACATTTGCATGTTTGGGCCCCTGAAATGCGCCCTTTACAGATGTCCTTGAAGTTATCTGTTGTCCATTGCTCCATGAGCATCTGGTATATGTTGGATAGCAGCCTGTTTGGACAAACTGGAAGAAATAAAAGCTGCAAAGATTCTACAGCCATAGGCAGAAACCAAATAGATCTTGTTGGTTCAATGAAGTTGTACATCCTGTTAGGCACAGAAAATCCTTTATCTTTTTTTTTTTTTTTTTTTTTTAACTTGTTCATGGCTGATGATCACTTACTCTGCACCTGTATTTGATGTATAGATTTAAAAAATATGAAGTCACACAAAGTTTTTGTTTAGATGTTGGTAAAATTCTTAATGAAAAGACCAAGGTAGGTTTGTTACTGGGCAGTATACAGACTAATTCGTGGTATACTGGCTCAGCAGTATTAAGACAGTAAAGCTCTTCTAACTGATGCTCATTCATCTCTTTTAGAGAGCAGAGCTTAAAATAGTGCTCCTGCT